GCTTCATTTGCTTGTTCACATTCTTCATTTAAACCTCCCATCTATGTTTCAATTTTGACAACAACTCCATTCAGCATTTGGATGTGCTTTTGTGCCTCAAAGAGTGCTTTTTTGCTTTCTTGCACTTTCGCTTGTAATTGTTTTTTTTTTAAGAGTTGTGCCAACTCATAATTGGTGGATAGTTGTTTTATGTTAAAATCAGCGAATAGACTCTTCCATTTATCCTTTTCTTGTCTGAGTGCTTGAATTCATTCTCCCTTCTAACTACCCTTAAGCCTTTGGTTTTCAAGCTCTAATTTATCTTTTTCAACTTGGAGCTTTCTTTTAGTAGTTTCAAGTACTACTAGTGGATCAATAAGTGCTGGTTTGACTGGGCCATTTGAGATTGTTTCTTCAAGAAGTACAATATCTTTGCCTTGCCTAATATGTCATACAAAGTATTAAGGGTAACCTCATTTGACCACCTTTTTTGTCTTCTATTCAAGTTAACTTCCAAGCTTGCATGGCCAGTGTTATCTTTATTGAGGCATCAATTTCAACTTGTAAGAACTCTATCCTGCTAAGTCCAAAAGTAGCTTGGATAAATTATTCATATCCATACTATCTTTACACCATGATTGGAGAATAACTTATTGTGCTCTATTGGCCTAAAAGAGGAACCTAAAACATATCTTCATAACCATATAGTACTGGTCCATAGGACATCCAAAGTGCACTTTATATCTCATCTTGGCTGGTAAGCTTACATAATAATGAGATCCATGTTTCCTTAGTTTTTGTGCAGGCTATTCATTTTCACAAAATTCCTTGATAAGAGTACTTGAAGTAAAATATGGCTTGCAAAATTTACCTTCATTGCTTTTGATATGATTTTTCATCCAAATGGTTAACAATTTTGCAAATATAATAAAATGTCCTATTCCACTTCATCAACAATGATTCAAAAATTTGATAGTTTTTACCAAGATTGTAAGGATAGGATTGATTTAATAATTAAGTTGATCGAAGAAATCCATCATTATTATATCAATATACCCTATTGCCTTTAGAAATATCATCATCCTATAAAAAGCCAATGCCATCACATCTATTCCTCTTTCATTACCCAAATGCTTGTTTATGAAGTCATGAACAACAAACCAAGGAAGGCCAACACCTATACCTTTTTTTTTACCTAAGCATTAACAGTTTGGACATCTACTACCATTAATTGAGCAAGCTTCTTTCGATAACCACTCTTATTGTTTTTTTAATATATCTTGTCAAGATTGGGAAGATTCAAGCAAAGCAACGTTAAGTATTCTTCAATAATTGGCACTATATCAGCTTCATTAAACACAAAGTATTAGTAAGAAGGATCCTAAAACTAAACCATGGCTTGAATAAATTGATCATCAACAGTGACTAAAAGAAATAGCGCCAGGTGTCTATACTTCTATTGAAAGGCTTCTTTCATAGTGACATCCTATTGCTTCCAAATGTAAGCCAAAACACTAAGAGCATTCCTCTTGAGATTGAAATAAACTTTAGTTAGGAGAGCAGACACATAATTGGCTACAAGCAATCACCTCTTTTAAGTTGAGCTTCTTCAAACTTCATTTTCAGACCAATAAAGGACTTTGTTAGGCTTTCCATGGATGTAATCAAGATTTTTTTTGTTAAAATTATTTTGTAGCAATCATTCCTTCTGATTAATCTAATGATGTAATGCATGAACATATAGTGAAACTAAAGTGTTAGCAAATACAATTTATATAAGGAATAAAATATAATTTTTACTTGTAAAATAGTAAGAAATGTTCCTTCATGTGCCCTATGTAGGGTTTTTTATACAAAAAGATGATAGGGCTCTAATTTTGGTTTGGATCTTTAAGGTTTATTTACATGCTAAGTTCAAAAGTTTGAAAAATCTAAAGGCTCCCAATTTGTTTCTCACATAATTGTTCATTATAGACTAGTAAGACACCCTAATCCTCACCCTCTCCCATTATAGGCTCAAAGGGAAAAAGTTCAATTTGAGTGGGAGTTTTCGCTAGCACACACGAAGGTTATCACCTCATAATAGTGTAGGTATTAACTCCCTCTTAATAAAAAACAAAGCTTAGGTTTAGAGTTTATGCATGAATGCATGTGTAATGTGTATGAAGGAACATGCCAACCTTTTTATTTGCAAATCCAACATCTCCAATCAAAACAAATAGATTAGTTCAAAAAATCAAAAGGCACAAAATAAACAAACAAGTTAGTGTCAATAATAAATAAATACAAAAAACAAAATCAAAGTAATGCTTAAGATAACACACAATTTACCAATGGCTTGACTCTCTAAACTCTTCAGTGGAGTCACTAAACTATTATAACATTTAAGTTCAAAAACTTATAGATTAGACAAAAAAATTATGAAGTCGTCATCTATTTTTTTTTTATCTAAGTGTGATTGATAATCTATATGGATCTATTCTTTTTAAGGTTTTCCCAAACTTGACAAAAGATTCCTAAAAAGAATATGTTTAGTTATAAATCAACAAAACTAAGTTCGGGAGTCAGTTATGTATAGGAAAAGTTTTAACACCTCCACAATATCCAAAATTGACACCAAATTAGTCTTATGTTATCTTATTTAAACCTTAATCAAATATGATTTTTTTTTATTAATTTTGATATTTAAATATTAGAAAAAAATCTTTAGGTTTGTATAAAAAAAGAAAATTTTCTCACCTCAAATGTATTTAAAATAAACTTGTTGGTTACTGAAAGAGGTTTTATTGTTAGATTCATTAAATAACTTATGAAAAATTGAATTCTTTTTATTTATTTACAAAATAATGTCATACAAAATTCTATAAAAAATATCAATCATAAATACCATAAATACATCATGCAAACATGTAAAATAAAATAACATGCAAAAGTATCAAGCAAATAAATAAAATTCATGCAAAAATATCATAATAAAAATCATGCAAAAATAAACTATAAAAATTCATATTAAAGCTTTGTTTTTCTCATTATTTTCAATTCATTCACAATTAATAAAAAATAAAAAAACAAAAAAATCAAAATAAAACAAAAAATTAAAATTAAAATCAAAATAAAAAATAAAATCTTATAATAAAAATAAAAATAAAAATAAACCTATGATCTGGTGAGTTAAACAACAGGTTAACCTATGGGTTGTATTGGGTTTAAGCACGAGTAAAAGGTTGTAAAACGAAGTCATTTGTTGTTTGCATAAAAACAAAAAGAAATCATATTTTTTTCCTCATATTTCTTTCCTTCTCTTTCTAGCTCTAAAGCTCTGCTTTCTCACTACAATAGCCTAAAAAAAATTCAACCACCTTTTAGAAATAAGCCAAAATCCTAGAATCTGGCATTAAAACATTAAAATGGTATCGCAAAATTTAAACTTTTCCCAGAAATTTTTTAGAAACCCAAAAACCAACCTCAGCTAAATCTTTTGATCGCCCAAAGAAAATATCGAAATATTCGATAACTCGTCTAAAAATTCAAACAAAACTAAAAAAAAACCCATAATTTCCCAAAAAATCTCATAAAAATTAAAAAAAAAATCAAAAACTTCAAAATTTCCCAACAAATTATAGAAATACTAAAAAACCCAAACAGAAACTCTACCAAAATTCCAACAAGCCAACTTCAGAAACACCCAAGAATTTGAATCAAATTTTTAGAACCCCAAAACCAAAAACCGAAAATGTTTTTTATATTGGCTGGAATCAATGTTTATTGTATGCTAATTGCTCTTGATTGTTAGTGTCTTTTGATTGGAGATTTAAGTTCTTTATATAGGGACTAAATCCCTTTCAATTTGAAAATTCTCAAATTCTACCGAATCTTAACAAAATCAAGATTTTAATTCTTCAAAAATTGCTTTTCCTTTTTTTAATGAATTGGGGTCCAAGTTTTTCAAATTTAAACTATATGAATGTTCTTGGATCTTGATTTGCAAAGAATGAATCTGCCCAAACCTTTCCTTTTTAACTTTCCATTTTTTACCGCATGACAAAACCAAAGAACATAAAAATAATAACACAAATAGAAACTAAAATAGAAACTGAAAAATAAAATAAAAATAAATAACAAAAATAATGAAATAATAACAAAAACATACTTTTGGGCTTTGAATCTTATGCTAGAAAATCACATCTTATAATTAGAAGTCCAATTGCATAATTATACAATCCATTATCAAAACAAAATTCAAAATCCATTGAATGTGCAAAAAAAATTTTTTAAACAAAATGAGATATTTATAATAATAATATATATTAAAATATAAAAATTCGATTAAATTCATGAGTTATTATACTACGCATTAATACGCTCAAATTTAATTTGTTCAATAAATTAAATAATTTGAACTCAATTTAATACTAACTAAACCAAATTTGAATTTTGATCAAATCAAACCCAAATAATTTATAGACAAGAAATTATCATTCACAGGTCTAGTTCTAGCTAGAGCACCGGTTCTTTGCTTTGATATCTATATGTGCTCGATACAATTACTCCTGCTCGTAAGTTAGGTAACTCCAGGGCCACAAGCCTAGACCAATCTAAGGCCGATATGAGTTTAAACATGTAAAAATATTTTTTTATTAAATAAATATTTTTTATATTATTTTAGAATATACTTTTAAATAATAAACATTAATATAATGATATTTTTAATATTATAATAATAAATTCAAATTAAATTGACTTAAATGAATTTTGTTGTGTTAATCAATCAAATCCAACTATGAACAAACTTTTAAAAGTGTCAGTTGAGCTTAACAGAGCAAATTCAGCTCCTAGACACCTTTAAACACAACTGAACAAATTTTTTTTCTTAATTTTTCATCAAATTAAAGTTTTTCGTCAAAACTATGAAAATAAATGTGCAAGATATTATTACAATAGTGATTAATGAATGTATATGATTTAGATTAAATATTATATAAACACAAATAAAGCGTCTCCGCCCCATTGAACTTAGCATCTGAGTAACTAATAAAACAACAATGGTTTATATAAGTTGAATCCCATGAACAAAAAATCCGAAGGGAAGTTATCTCTTCTCAGTTCTCAATTCTCATATCTATGCAGTTATGCTCACTTCCACAGGTGAAAGTTTCTTTTGTGAGTAAATACAAAATTTCATGGTTTTTTTTTTTTCCTAATCTATGAACCCCCTACCCTAATACTTTGGCTGAAAAAGTGTTACATGCATAAACTTCTTCAAACCTACAATCTCCAAGTGCTAGCTCTAATGACATGCCAAATGATTCAAAGGTTAATCAGCAAAATTTCAGGTGTTAGATATGCATGTAGGCTAAATCACCACTTGTACTATTCCGAATCTATTACTACCATGGAGGTATACCAATCCCATATTTCAAGAAAATTCTGCCTACCAGTAATCCCCACAAGAGCACTCGCAATCTCTAAAATGGTGAAACCTTTTTGCATCTCTTACAACAATCTCTCTTCCTACCACTTTTGACATAAACTTGAATGCGTTATGGCAGTCTCCACAAATCCTAAGATTCTTGAAAACCCTTACTGTGGCTCCACGAGGAAGCCTCATGAGTGCGAAAGCTACAGCAAGCTTCTCGCTGTGAGCAGACAAGACACGTTCTTTCTGTTCAGACTCCATATCATGTAGCACAAATTTTGTGTCTGGAACATAGCCTAATCTTCTCATTTCTATCACCAATTGATTAAGATAATTGTAAACTGATTGCACCTCAGGATGCACTGTGTCATCAACCAAAAACACATGGACTTTGTTCTCAACCTCCACCCAACTACAACCAGGTTCCTTCCGTACTCCTCTGTCTCTCATTAGTTTTCGTGCATTTGCCACATCATCCCATCTTCCAGCAGTAGCATACATATTAGACAAAAGCACATAGCTTCCATCATGTTTTGGCATCAGCTCAATGAGTCGTTCTGCGGCTTGAATTCCCAAATCTATGTTTCCATGAGTTCGACAACCAGCCAGAAGAGCCTCCCAAACTGGTGCACCCGGCTCAAAAGGCATTGATGTAATCACATCCTTTGCTTCTAACAACTTTCCAGCTCGACACAGCAAATCAACAAGACGTGTGTAATGATCTTCACCTGGGATTATCCCATAAAGCCTATGCATTGAATTGAAATAATACTGCCCTTCTCTAACTAGACCTGCATGGCTACAAGCAGATAGAATTGTGAGGAAAGTAATTCGATCAGGTAATATGCCCACCTTCAGCATCTGCTTGAAAAGTTCTAATGCTTGAATACCATGTCCATGCTGGCCTAGAGCTGCAATCATGGCATTCCAAGACACTGAATCCACACAAGGCATAGTAAGGAAGAGTGTATTGGCAGCCTCCATAACACCACATCTTGCATACATTGTAATCAGGGCATTTCCAGCTGAAAGGCTTGAATCAAAACCCAACCGGACAAGTTGAGCATGGAGTTGGCGTCCATTCTCTAGCGCTCCTAACATGGCACAAGAAGTGATTGCTCCTGTAAATGCATAATCACATGGCTCAAAATCCTCTGTTTTCATCTGGTTAAACAGCTTCAAACCCTCTTCTCCAAACCCATGTTGTGCTAATCCTGATATCATTACAGTCCATGTTAAATGATTCCTCTCTGGCATCTCCATGAAAAATGACCTACCTTCATCAATGCGGCCTGCATTCACATAGCCAGATAAGATTGCATTCCATGAAACAAGGTCTCTAACCGGCATGTTATTAAAAATCTCACGAGCCCAATCCACTTTATCACATTTCCAATACAATGTAACTAATGCATTATTCACAGGCAATGAAAAATCAGGTGTAGGCTTACCCTCTGTCCTTAAAACATAACAATGCACTTGCTTCCCAAGCTGAAGCAATCCAGCATGAGCACAACCACTAATAATACTAGTATACGTAAATTCATCCATTTTAATTCCTATAAAATACATCTTCCTGAACATATCTAAAGCTTCTTTATAACGTCCATGACGCAGGTACCCCGAAATCATTGCATTCCAAGCAACTCCCAGATTTTCACTCATCCCATCAACCAACTCCCTAGCTGCATCAAGTTCTTCATTCCTAACATAACCTGTAACCATCGTTGTCCACGACAACTCATCTTTCTCATTCATCTCATCAAACAACTTCCTCGCTTCAAACATCAATGCACAGTTAACATAAACATAAACAAGTGCATTCAAAACCGAAATAATAAACGCCGCCCCTGACTTCAAAACCATGCAATGCATTTGCTTACACTGCATTTCTCTATCAACGATAAGCGCCAATCCACCCAAAACACTGGTGAAAGTAAAATTATCAGGCCTGAATTCATCCCGTAACATCTGGCGAAAGAGTTTAATACAAGCATGGCCATCTTCGTTTCGCGAATACCCCGTGATCATTGCGTTGTAAAAAACATTGTCCCGGATACTCAAAGGGGTTTCATCAAACATTTCCGCCGCCTTTTTAATGTTGCCTGAAAAAGCATAAGCTGAAACCAAAGACGTTCTTGAAACTATATCTGGGTCTGGAATTCTATCGAACAGGTTCCGAGCGTAGATGATTCTTGGTGATTTGCAGTAGATGTCTATCAGACGGTTGAGAATATGACCACGTGGGTGGAACCCAGAAGCTATCATGTGGGAATGGATGGCTTTGGCTAGGGAGAAAGAGGCGGGATTTTGGGGGTAACATAGTTGCAGTTGGGAAGCGTAACGGTTGGCTACTGTACGGATGAATTCTGGGCTATTCATGGCTTAGACAGTGGATTTTCATGGCTTTTGAAGTACAAAGAATGTGGCAATCTGCAGTCACAGACGCTGGCTATTTCAAAGAACGTGGCACAATTCCACGCTTCTTTTTTCTTACATTTTTTCTTTTTCTTTTTTATACATATTTAATAAATTATTTTATTTTTAAAATAAACTAGCGTGGGTCTCTTAGTTTTTTTTTTTCGGTTTTTTTTTTAACTTTTAATATTTAATTAATTTTTTTAAAAATTAAAAAATAATGATTTTATTTTTTGTATGTAGGCAATACTTAAATCAAATTTTCTTTAGTTTTTATTTTTCTTTTTTACCTTCTTATACTTTTTTCTTCTTTTAGAAAAAATTAATAATTCTTTTAGATTTTAAATATTTTTTGCGGATTTAGTTGATATCGAGGTTATACCATATGTTTTTTTTTTTTACTTTTACTTTTTTTAATTTTTATATATTTAATAAATATATTTTAGATTTAAATTTTTACATTTTTTTATTTAATATCCTATATATTAACTTAGTTAAATTTCAATACTCTCCTTTTGCTTCTTTTTTTTCCCTTTCCTTTGCTTTTTTTTTTTTCACTTTTTTTTAATTTATATTTAATTTTTTCTTTCTCTATATATTTAATAAATTATCTTAATTTTTTAAATAAATTTTTGTGTGGATTCTATTTGATATCATTGATTAAAAAAATGTTTTTTTGTCTTTTCATTTTTTTACCTTTTTAAATTAGATAATTTTGTAAAAATACTACTGATTGAGGTTGACAAGCACTCTATTTTTTTTTTCCTTTTTTCAACTTTCTTTTATGTTTTTTTAATTTATGCAATAAATTTTGTAAGAAAATTAGATCATTAGAAGTGTCCATATCCTTTTTTTTTTTTGTCTTTTCCTTTATTTTGTTATTTTTTTAATAAATTCGATAAATTTTGTATGACAAATGATCAATGGAGATAGGAATAACATAATAACCTATTTGGTTTCTTTTTCTTTTTTTTTAATACCATTTTACATTTTAGTTATTTCTTAATTTGATAAATTTTGTAAAAAAAAAATAATTGAGGTGAGAATGATAAAACAATCTATATTTGATGGGTTCTGATTATTCCCAATTCAATATATGCATCTTTTAAAATTCGAGATCGAGTTGAGATTTTTTTATAAAGTTAAGTTTAGATTAGAGATAAATTTAAGATATTCCATCCCGTTTTAAGTAGATATAATATGTATTTTATTATTTATTTAATTATATATTTATTAATAAAATTATTATTTAATATTTTGTTTAAAAAACTATATTTATGCATAATTAAGAAATAATTTATATTAAAAAATCATAAATTTATAAGCATTATACTATATTGAAATTATCGAATTAATTTTTTTTTCAATTTGTATCATATACAAGGTATCATATACAAGTTATATATTTTAGACTATAAAAATTGCTAAAGTTGTCCATGTAATACACAATTGAATTTTTTTTTTCTCTTTTCTTTTAATTCAAATCAATACCAAATATAATTAAGATGTAATTTATATTCAAAAAAAATATTTTATGAATATTATATTAAATTAAAAATATTTAATTTAGATGTGTTTTTTAAAGTTATAGAGTCTCTGCTTAGAGTAGATTTTTAAAGTTGTTAGACATTTACTTAGAGAAACTTTCATTATCAAGATTCATAAGTCCTCCGGGCACAATATTTTAAAATTTAAAGTTATGTAGCCTCTACTTAGAAGAGCTGTTTAAAATTGTAGAGCCTCTACTTAAAGGAATTTTTTTAAGTTATTAAGCCTTTGCTTTGAGAAATTTTTAAAATTTTTAAAAGCTATTGAGCCTCTGCTTATAAATGCTTTTAAATTTTCAAAAATTATCAAGCTTTACTTAAAGAAGTCTTTCAAATTTTCAATAAAAAAAAACTTTGTGTTCAATGTTTCATCTTTTACATATGTTTGCTCAAACAAAATGATTATCTTTTTATTTTTATCTTATTCCTAATTCTCATAAATAAACAAAGAAGGACAGCTGTGAACACTTATTTTGTTTAACCCTATTTTAATAGTTTTTTTTTATTATTATTTATTTCTACTTTTTTTCCTCTTTTTCTTGTCATTATTTTTGGTTAAGAAATTTTTTATGCATTAAATGCACATGCATTGCCCCCATAACCATTTGACACCCTTACCTAACTTGGTAGCATGAAATTCAACCAACAAAATCCACCAATTGAAATTTTGAGATTTGAATCTAAAAAAAATTCTATAAATAAAGCATAAAAAAAACCAAAAAACACAGAAAGTACAAAAAAAAAAAACCTATAATACATCAAAAAATGGAAAACTCTGCAAAAAAAAAATTCCTCTAGTAGAAAAAAAACTAAAAATTTTTTTTTTGGTCTAATAGGAAACAAAAATAAAAAATACAAACAAAAAATCATAATCCTTGAAATAAGAACCAATAGCGCCAAATAAAAACCACAAAGTTAAAAAAAAAAAAATCTTTGGCCAAAACTTTCAACCTTAATCTAGGCCATTTGAAACTAGTTTTTGTAAAACAAAGGCTAAATCTGGAGTTAGGAAACAAATGAGATTTTTTTAAAAAATTTTTGATCACCGATGATAGCAGTTGGCAACCAGTGATGATGGTTTACATGGTAGCACAAGGTAGAAACCTGGGCAAAACAGTAGTGCCTAGGTTTTTTTCTGGAGAAAGAAATCAGAAAAATGAAATAAAAAAATTTTGACCTTTTATAATGTTGTAAAAACAAAAAACTATAAAAACAACATCAATTAGGGGTTAGGATCTGCGTGTGACTTGTGACCCAACACAGGGTATGTACGTTGACCCTTGACCCGCTCATTTGCAGACCGATCCATCTAAATCGCCAAACTGTCTGTGAACTGCTTTTGAACCACTCTTGAACCATGTTGAACTAATTGAAATGCCTTGAACCACCTGAAGATCGATTCGGACTAGTTAAACTGCATTTAGACCATTGATTGGCCGTTTTTGGTATTTTTTTCTAAATTTATTTATTTATTTATTTAATTTTTGCTTTTATTTTTATTTATGGTTTGTATATTATTAAATTATATGCATGTTTAAAATTTAAATTTATTAAAATATAAAATATTTAAATTAAAATTTATTTACATAATTTTACCATAATTTTACCCTAAAATTTAACAAACTTTATGAAAATCTAAGAAAATAATAAAAGGAATAAATAAAATAAATATAAATATAAAATTAATAATAAAATAATAATAATAAATTTTTGAACTATTGCTAATGTGCTACTTATAAAAGAAAATTTTTTAATTTTTACCATAATGATGATAAATTTAAAAGAAAATTCTAAAAATATTTAAAACAAAAATAAAAAATAATAATAAAACAAAAGATAAAAAAATAAATAAACATAAAAACTATGAATAAAAAATTTTAGAAAATTACGAATGAGTAATTTTTTACAAAAGATTATTTTTAAATTTTACTAAAATGATGAAAAATTTTAAAAAATAAAATAAAACAACAAAGATTACAAAATAATAAAATAAAAATTAAACTTGAGAATAATGAAAATTGTCTAAATCACGAAATTACAAAAAACCATAAAAGAGTGATTTTTAGAGTTCTTATGAGTGAAAATTTATCCAAAATTTACCAGAATGTTAAAAAATTTGAAGAAAAGTTTACACTAATGATTTACATTTATTCTTAAGTAAATATATATAATAAAAAATATATAAATGTTATAAAATTTCACAAAATTAAAATAAATAAATATATATAATAAAATATATAAATGCTATAAAATTTCACAAAATTAAAATAAATAAAAACAATAATAGAATTTTAAATAAAATTATGAATGAGATTATTTCTAAAGTATTCCAGAATGATGGATGCTTTTATAAATTAAACTATTTTTAAAATAATAAAAAGTCTTCATAAAATTTTAAAGATTACGAACGAGTGATCCTTAGAAGAAAATTTAAAAAAAATATAAAATAAATATTTCTAAATTTTACTAGATTGATGAAAAGTTTAGAATAAAATTTTTAATACAATTATAAAAAATCTTTAAATAAAATTATAAAAATTTTATCAATCCAACAACAGAGTCTATTCAAGGAAACAAACGGATTTTTTAATTACTTTTGAGATGAGAAAATTTTTTTTAAAGATTTTATCATAATAATAAAAAAATCTTACAAATTTTTTTGATATTTAAATAATTAAATTTAAATAAAAAACAAAACAAAACAAAAGACTATTTATTTAAAAATCAATTTAGTGCAATACAATATTTTTTTCGGATGAACATTGTGAGGGTACTAATCCTACTTCACACGTAACTGTATTCCATAATTTAAAAAATGTAACATAAATCAAAACTTATCATTTTTACAATGTCTTAATTAAAATTAAAATTTCCTTAAAAAAAAAATTTTTAACTTGGTGACCAATCATATTTCAACATAAAATATTTATAATAACCCACAATATTTAATGTCTAACGATGAGATGAGTCTTCGAGTCAATATGTTAAGACACCATTGATGGGTCAGTAAGTATACACGAATCCCTTACTCTTTCTTGCACCACGAACTACCTCATTTTTCTGGTTCCATTACCGCAAACAGATCGGATCCCCCTCAACGTTTCGTTGCTGATTGTGGAATTAAATTTTTGACCCCAAAATGAGGTATGAACTTCAATAATAATCATAGTAATAGTTGGGGGAGAATGGGGACTAATAGTGGTTAGAAAAAGGAAAAAGTATGTAATTATTGGGTGTAAGGGAACTATAATTACGGAGATACGTGTAAGCTTTTACATTCATGGAGTTTAGGGGAAGTTTTGATGGCCACCAAAAAGTAGGTTTCTTTACCTATTTTTGTTTTTTTCCTTTTTCTTTGTGGCGTTTATTCGTGGCAGTATGTGATTTCGATGATGATGGGTTTGCTTAGTGGACATGTTGCTAGTGGAGTTGCGTTGCCAGTGGTTATGAATAATTAAGCTCTATAAGGGAGTAAAGATAAGACTGTGAGGGCTTGGGATACCAATTCCG